TGTTAAATTTTGTCCAGGTCCTATTGGATTGCCAGCAAGTATATAAATGTTGCCCTCTGGTGATGATGACAATACACTGCCACCTTTATTAACCTATCCAGTACATTAATTCAGGGTTTCATTGTTAGCCAATATTTTTACCCTGTTTATAACTACCTTAAGTCTGACTTTATTACTAAATCTCAATACAATAGTCCAGTAGAGAGACTGTTCCCGGATATCGATGGCCGCCTCAGTCTTGTTGGGGTCCTGTCTTATCACGCGGTAGGTTACGGAGCACTGGTAGGCACAGGTCAGCACCAGTACTATCACCAAAACACATATCAATTGTCGATTCACTTTTGCCTTATTATAAGTTATAAAACGAGAATTATATTAAATTAAATTTTTATAATGATACTACTTTAACAATAATTACATACCATTATACAGTACTTGTTATGTGTACATAATGTTTTCGTAGACAGTATTTAACAAACAACAGAATATTTATTTTTGAATAAGAAACCAAATTAAAAACATTAACTGTGTGCAGGTTATCAGCGATTATGATAAAAATATATCACATGAAAAAGGTTTGAGATATTTTATTGTGTATTTTGATAACGATTGCACACATCATGTGAAAACACAATCAACAGTGTATTAAAAATAGTGAAACACTTGTATAAAAATTATAATTAATACACCTTTTATGGCAACAATACTGGTATAAATTATATATAAAATTCAATGTCGAAAAATATATAAATAAATATGCTTTCAATGCATTTATTGACATATTCTCAGTGTTCACTAATCAGTGAATTTCATAATTAATAACATATTGTTATTAAATGCTTATCATAAACATTATTACAGAAATCATCGTTTATTAAACAGGTTTGTTATTTTGAACATGATCAGATATTTATTTATACAACCAATGAGTCAACATTAAGTTACTATTTAATAAACATGTATAATTAGTAATGAAATACAAAATTTCAGGTTATTTACTATATTTACTAAAATTACAAGCATCTAGATCGCATTTGAAAAATATTAAAAATAATTTATTCAATTAATTTTTATTATCTATAAATTATGACTTTAATTATGGATATCAATAGGCTGTCCATTATATGTTGCCCTAAATCAGTGGAAAATAAGTAAATGTTAAATAAATTCATTACAAAATCAACGCATACCTAATGAGTTGAGGGGGCGGTTGGGGTACAGCCAGGGAATAGGTATCTCGAAATTGTATCGACCGGTTAGTACCCGGCTGTATTGGGTTACCACTCAATGTATACGCCTTTCCATCGAGACTGGCAAAATAGATACTGGCACCTCCCTTCACAATCTATTTATACATAAGGAATATTCTGTAATACTGTATTTATTACAAAACATAAATTAAACTTACTGTTAAATCAATAGTTTTATCAAATGTGAGCCCTATTTCCCATTTGTACTTCTCGTTGACGATATCGATGGCAGC